ATTCCTGTATCAATTTCTGGGTGGTTTCTGTATTGATATTCACCTTTTGTCCTAGGTTATTTAAACTTTCTGTCATCAAGTCATTTTTAAAATTTACAGCATCCACTTTCATATTCAACACATCTATTTTCTTATGAAGCTGTTCCAGCGAGTCACTTATTTTCATTAATACAACCGCTAAGGCCTCTTCTGGCAACATTCCGTCTTTCCCATCTGCCATAACACTCAGTAGATTCAAGGTCAGTCTCACAGTCTCACGATTTTTATCTTGCAGCTGGAAATTTCCCAGCCCAGATCTTATATAGCTCTATATATATAGCTCTATTACAGTTTCAAGAACTTCCACTAGAGGGAAACAGTTTCTATTTGTATTGATAAATAATATCCTCTTATAAGCACAGTTCAAACGACCCAAAACTAGTTTCAATTTTCAGTTACTTTCACTGCTGGAGACAGTAGAAACAATGTATCTTCTCTTAAGCGAACTGTCAATGAACGATCCAAACGCTGTCAATAAACGTCCCACCAAACGTCGGACCTACTAGCAGCCCGTTCCCAGGGTCCGAGCGGCGGTATTTTACCTCTCGGTCTCTTCCGCAGGCAAACTCAGTCCACAACTCCCCCCCCCTTCTCCTGCCTCCAAGGGGGGGATTGTATTCTTTACTTATGAAAATTTAGTCTTTTACAAAAGGCTTTCCAAGACTTCAGCTTGCAGCCTCAATTGCTTCAGATTATTTACAAAAGGAGAAGGCGGACTTCCTGTATTGAACTTTCCCCGTTTCGATGTCAAATTAGACGTTTTAAAAATCCAATTTTCCCGATTAAGCTCTACTCACGGGTAGTTACTTTAGAGTCAAATTGTCTACAGGAAAAAGTCAGCGCTCTCCGACAACAGCTATGCGGCTTCGCTCCGTGAAAGAAGCAGATGATTCGAAGCACCGCGCCGCTCACCCCACGTCACTCCGGATCCCCGAAACCGGGTTTCCCTTCGAGTGGGGGAGGCGCAAAAGGTGCCCGCCGAATCCCATGCTCACAGGCTTCTCCCACCTGTGATTTTTGATGGGTTTCCGCCTTCGCCGTGGTGGCCAGACCCAGATTTCCACAGAGCTGATTCCTCCCGATCAGAGGAATCCAGCCATTGCCGGAGGCGCCTCCCCGGAAGTCCAAAACCTGAACGAATTCCTATGCCCCACAAATAACCCAGAGATGCATTTTAAATAAAAGGACATATTCTACTCATGTAAAAACACACTGCTTTCCGGACCGTCCACAGGCCTGATTTAAAAGGCAATTGGGCCAGAATCTGGCCCCCAGGGCTTACTTTGCCTACCCATGCTGTATATGTTTTCTTTTCCCCAGTATGTGTGTGTGTGTGTGTATAGTAAAATACATTTCCTAACAAATACAGTACAAATACCAACATGCTCTATATGGGGCTGCCCTTGAAGATGATCCAGAAGCTGCAACAAATGAAAAAATTGGTGAGAGGGGCAGCCTGATGGCACCATGTGTCATCCTGAAAGCACTGCCCTGGCTGTCAGTGAACTACTGGGTCTTATCACTACAATACAAAGCCATAAACTGCTTTAGACACAAGTACTATACCTAAAAGAGCACCTCTCTCAATACTGACCGTCTTGGGCCCTAAAATCAGCAAGGGAGGAACTGCTGGTGCTGCTGCCTCCAGGTGCTGTCCAATGGGCACTGACCTGCAATGGGGCATTTGGGGTAATAATTCTCTGTTATAGAATGCCCCCCTTGTGAGTTGTATCTGGCTTCTTCATTATTTATATTCAGAAATAAATTTTAAGCATTCCTCTTCACCAAAGCATTTGATGACCGAAATATATTCCTCCTAACAATCTTGAAATAATTTCCTGTGAGGTTATGTGACTGTTCATGGGCCATTGCCAAGGGCAGCTGCCCCCTTAGATCAATCAGAATCAATACAAATCTGAGGTTCTGACCCCCCAAAAAGCATGACCTGCCAACAAAAATCCTGGCTACACCCATGCTACATCTTTGTTTGTTTTGTATTGGTTTTCTGTTTTGTTAATTCATTTGATTTGTATGCTGCTTTTCCACAAAAAATCATGCTCAAAGCGGCTTAAATCAAACAGGAATGCATTTCAGTTAAGGAGCTTGTGGGTGTAATCTCAGAGCCTTTGTTTGTGATCCTTGGGAATTCTTAGAGAACAGGTGAGGTCTCTGCAGAATGGAGGCAGGCAAATGTCCCCATCTTCAAAAATGTGAAAAAAGAAGACCCAGGTAACTTACCAACCAATGAGCTTCACATCGATACCAGGAAAGGTCCTAGAACAGATAATTCAACAGTTGGTCTGTGAGCACTTAGAAAAGGATGCTGTGATTACTAAAACCCAGCATGGGTTTCTCAAAAATAAGTCATGTCAGACAAATCTCATTTCTTTTTTCCATGGAGTTACATGGATCAGGGGAATGCTGTGGACGTAGTGTATATTGATTTCAGTAAAGCTTTTGATGTTCTTGTGAGGAAGCTGGTAAAATGTGGGGTGAACGAGGTGACTGTTAGGTGGATTTGTAGCTGGTTGACTGATTGAACCCAAAGAGTACTCATTAATGGTTCCTTATCATCCTGGGGAAAAGTGACAAGCGGGGTGCCACATGGTTCTGTCCTGGGCCCATTGTTGTTCAACATCTTCATAAACAACTTGGATGAAGGAGTTGAGGGGATGCTCATAAAATTTGCAGATGACACCAAACCCGGGGGGCGGGTAATGCTGCAGAATTCAAAATGACCTTCACAGATTGGAGAACTGGCACAAATATAAGGTTCTGCACTTAGGCAGGAAGAACCAGATGCACAAATATAAGGTGGAGGATACCTGGCTTACTAGCAATACATGTGAAAAAGCTCTAGGGGTCTTAGTGGACCACATGCTTAACATAAGTCAACAGAGTGAGGCAGCTGCAAAAAAGTTAATGCTATTCTAGGCTGCATCAACAGAAGTCTAGCGTCCAGATCAAGGGAAGTTGGTCCCACTCTATTCTGCCTTGGTCAGACCACACCAGGAATACTGTGTCCAATTCTGGGCACCACAGTTTAAGAAGGATGTTGACAAGCTGGAACATGTGCAGAGAAGGGCAACCAGGATGATCAAGGGTCTGGATACAAAGCCCTATGAGGAACAGTTGAGGGAGCTGGGTATGTTTAGCCTGGAAAAGAGGAGACGGAGAGGAGATAGGATCATGATGTTCAACTATGTAAAGGGCTGTCACATGGAAGAGGGAACAAGTTTTCCCCCTGCTGCTCTGGAGTGTAGGAGTCAAGCCAATGGCTTCAAATTACAAGAAAGGACTAAGCATCAGGAAAAGCTTTCTGACAGTAAGACCTGTTCAGCAGTGGAACAGACTCCTTCAGGAGGTGGGCTCTCCTTTCTTATAGTTTTTAAATTAGAGGTTGAATGGCCATCTGTCACAGATGCCCTAGTTGAGATTCCTGCATTACAGGGGATTGGACTAGATAACCTTTTGGGTTCCTTCCAACTCTACAACTCTACAATTCTATGATTCTCTAGTTCTCTCATATATATGTTAGAAGGGTGATAGCCTATATTTCAAAAGCTTTCTGCAACATCACAACCTGTGTCACATGTGTTTATAAGCCTTGTGCTTTTTGCTCCAAAGCTTCTTAAAAAAATTATTATTATTATTTTATTTACAACATAGTCCACAACAACTCATACATACAAACCCACCACCATTGACAATTTAATTATCAAAATTAAACTCCTATCCCCTTACACAAAGAAAACATAAAAATAAAAGACTTCCTTTATCCTGTAAATGGCCTCCTTATTTACTTCTTGTGTACTGTTTCTTTTATATGTGATTATTACAATTTTTCCTAATTATGACTTAAAAAACCGCAAAGTCTCCTATAGAAATCAAACGAAACAAGTCCAGGTGTATATTTTGGGGCACTGATTGGTAAAGTATTCTCTGCATTTCCCCCATTCTTTTTGGAATTCTTGTCTACCTTCTCCCCTAATTGTCTCTGTTAATCTGGCCAATTCAGTATAATCTAATAACTTATCCTGCCATTCTTTTTTTGTTGGCACAAATTATTTTTTCCAATTTCTGGCAATTAAGGTCCTCGCGTGCCTGTGGCATACAGGAATATTTTCCGATCCTCTTTTGCTATACCTGTGTCTGTTATTCCTAATAGGAAAGCTTCTGTATTTTTACGAAATCATATTTAAACATTTTTTAAAGTTCATCATATACTATATCCCCGAAGCTTTAGATTTTTTCACAGGTCCACCAGATATGTATGTGTCCCTTCTGCTGTACTGCACCTCCAACACAGGTTTGCTTTTGTTTTATACATTTTAGCTATTTTGGCAGGTGTTAAGTACCATCTATAAAACATCTTGATTAAATTTTCCCCTAGTGCTAAGGCAAAGCTTCTTCTTTCTTCTTTCTTTTTTAATTATTATTAAGAATTTACTAATGCAACTTTTAATTGATTAATGCAGCAACATACCTACTCTTGGGATATGGGTGGCACTGTGGTCTGAACCACTGAGCCTCTTGGGCTTGCCAATCAGAAGGTCAGCAGTTTGAATCCCCACGACGGGGCGTCCCAGCTCCTGCCCACCTAGCAGTTCAAAAGCACGTCAAAGTGCAAGTAGATAAATAGGTACCGCTCCAGCAGGAAGGTAAACGGCGTTTCCGTGTGCTGCTCTGGTTCGCCAGAAGCGGCTTAGTCATGCTGATCACATGACCCAGAAGCTGTATGCCGGCTCCCTCGGCCAATAAAGCGAGATGAGCGCCACAACCCCAGAGTCGGCCACGACTGGACCTAATGGTCAGGGCTCCCTTTACCTTTACCTACTCTTACTCCAAAAGCCAATACACGTTTACTAAGAGATAAGTTCTTCCGACTCCCATGAGACCTATTTACCTGGGCGGAAGTAGCATTAAACTTCATAGGAATTACTTCTGGGTAAGTTTACCTTTTTAAACATGGACAGCATTGCGCTGTTCATTAAGGAATCTGCGACTAACTCCAATGGAGAGACAAGCAGCTTGCTTGGTACCTGCGCCCGCCAGGAACCCAGGAGTCCTGCTCCGGCCCTAGTGGGCTGTCCTTTGTACACGTGACTCTTTTCGGTGCCAGGACGCGGAAGCAAAAGGCATCCTCCGGCGTTGGCGGTGAGCACAGCAAGCGCATCATGCTGGGCCCCAGGAAGGAGGCGGCGGCGGCCCAGGTAGGAAAGGGTTAGTTCCCCGGCGGCGAGTTGGGGGGTCTGCCGCGTCTCCCTCCCTCCCTGGGCTCGGCTGGCGAGGCCGCGTTCAGCACCACGGCCAGCGACGCGGCCCGAAAGGAGACCGGGAGGCCGAGCCCCGAGGACGAGGAGGAGGAGACTCAGTCCGAGGCCGATTGCAAGGGCTCCTCCGGCCCCGAGAGAGAAGCTGAGCCGCTGCTAGGCAAGGCTGGACCACGTGGCCTTGGGCTGCCCTGGTCCATCTCCCTCGCCGGAGGACCGACCCCTGAGCTTCCAGCCTCTCTGCCCATTGGCCGTGCTGGCTCATTCCCAGGCATCTGGAGAGCGCCGTGCCGACTACCGACAGGCCTCTGGGGCTCAACAGTGGAATAGTAACAACCAGGACAACAATTCGCATTTCTGCAGCACCTTCCCGATGTTTGCAACTGCCCTCCCTGAGCTTATTAAAATTCTTACAACCTGACATTGCAGATCAGTACTGTCATCCCCTTAGAGCCAATAGGAAGCTCAGGCTGGATTGCTTAAAGCAGAAGTGCCTAACCTTTGGCTCTCCAGATGTTACTGGACTCCAATTTCCAACAGCCACAGTCATCATGGCCAATGGTCAGAGACTGAGCAGGTCGTAGCCACAACGACTATCTTCTATCCCCACTGTCAGAGGCATGATGCCTCTGAATGCCAGTTGCTGGGAAGCACACATGGGGGAAGTGCAATTGTCACATGGGGAGTGTGATGTTGCATTCAAGTTCTGCTGGCAGGCTTTCCAATGGTAGAACAGAGTCCTGGACTAGATAGGTCCTTAGTCCGATCCAACAGGGCTTCTTACAAGTTCTGCAGTATCTGGAGGGCCACAGAATCTTCTCCCCTGGTGCAGCGAGATCCATGGATAGATATCCCAGTTTTCAAAGGGTTAAGAACAGCTGCAGGGAACCCAGTTTGACTTTGGACTTGACCACTAGTGGAGGAAGCTCTTTGCACTAATTTCCTGATTGAAGCTGCCTCCCATCCTCAACTCTGTTATCTGCACAAGAGGTGTGGACACCGGGAATAGATGTTGCACGAGAAATAATAGCTTAGACAGGACCTGCTAAACAAGAGTGCGTCTCTCTTCTGCATAAACACGCATACAAGTGCATTGTAAATTTCTTAAATATTACAAACAGTACCAGAGAACTCTTCTGTAAAAACAGAAAAGGGCGTTTCTGAACAGGAGAAACCAGCTGAAGGAACAGCAGCTGAGAAAACCTTACTGTTAGAAACTGAAGTAGATAAAACTCCCATTGCCACCCAGGAATATGACAACAAACCTCTTCTTGATCTTTTTAACACTCCTGAATTATATGCTAAATTTGAAATAGGGTATTTTATGTTATCACTGCAGTAAAATAAGCTGCAGTTTAAGAAGTAAATAAGTATTACATGTATTTCATTTGCCCACACCCCAAAATTTTCATTTTGTGCAAGAAAATTATTATTATTAATAATAATTTTATTATTCATACCCTGCCCATCTGGCTGGGTTTTCCCAGCCATTCTGGGTGGTTCCCAGCAAAATAGTAAAAACATGATAGAACATCAAATATTTAAAACCTCCTGTTACAGGGCTGCCAAAGTCAGATAGTTGTTTATTTTCTTGACATCTGAACAGAGGGTGTTCCACAGGGAGGGCACCGCTGCCAAGAAGGCCCTCTTCCTGGTTCCCTGTAACTCCACTTCTCACAGTGAGGGAACCACCAGAAGGCCCTCAGAGGTGGACCTCCATGTCCAGGCTGAGAGATGGGGTGGAGATGCTCCTTCAGGTATACAGGGCCGAGAAAAGAAGGGTCTTCCTCATGGCTTTAATGTTTCTGGAAAATTTCTATTGCTTGCAAGTGACTATAAAGAGGTGGAAGGGATTTAGTTTGAGGCATTTTGAAGTTTAAAGTAGTACTACAGTACATTCTAAAGTATTATCTAGGGTTTCCCAAATATCTGAGTTCGTTCACACATGCACACCCCTGAACGTATAAAGTTGCCATTGACCCTGACCCATATTCTTAGAAAAGTAAATGAAAGAAAGTGTGCTGGTCCTGGGGGGGGGTTACCGTGAGGCGTGGTCCTGGGTTGAGGGTCTGGAGACTATCCACCAAGGGGGAAGCGGGGGTCCAAAGCAAGAAGCCGGGCGTGGACGGGAACTCCGAAAGAACAGGTCTGGGTGCTGGCAGAAACAGGTTTCCAACGACGTTGCTCCTGCAACCTGGGACTGGGCTGACTGGCCTTTATCTCCTCTGGGGCCTAGGGCGGTCCTGGCCCACAGGTGACTCGCCTCTCCTGGCCTTAAGGCGAGCACTCCTCCTGAGAGAACTTAGTTCCCTCCGCCTTTCTGCCCTGAGCCTCTGCAGCTCAGGAGAGGCTGGAGGGTTACTGGACCCAGAGGCAACCTCACCTTCCCCTGACAGGGCGGGGAGAGGAGCACCTGCAGGCAATGGGTCCTCAATCACCCCCGGAGCCAGAGTGGATTCAACTGGTGCCTGCTCCTGAGGATCCGGCACAGGTGCAGGCTCCTCCGCATCAAGGCCCTGCCCCAGTTCAGCCGGCCCTGGAGGCGGGGACTCCTGTGCAGGCTGGGATTCCTCCATTTCAGCCTCTGAATCAGATTCCCAGGCCATCACAGAAAGTCAAGAAATATCAATATATATTAAATGTTTATTAATTATCAATCACCATTGCTAGGGATCTAAAAATGTGAAAAAATAAGGAAGTAAAACAAGCAAAAACTATTCTTTATTTATTTATTAAATTCATATACTGTCCTAGGCCTCTTTTTTAAAAAAAAAATGTTATTGGTTTTACAATTTAATTTTACATTCACACATTAAATAGAATCAAAAAGTGTAGAATTCTCCAAATTCTCAGACTTCCTCCCTTCCCTCTGTGGAGTCTGCTAATAACCATTTTCCACTGCATATCATATCGTCCTCTATTTAGCCTTAAAACTCTATTTATATCCATGGTTCTTTTCACATTGCAAGTGTTACTTCAGTCCTGCTAATGTTTACAGTGTTCTCTTAAGTATGTTACAAAATTTTCCCAGTCCTTGTTAAATTTGTTATCATCCTGGTTCCTGATTTTTTTCAGTCATTTTAGCCATCTCAGCATAGTCCATCAATTTTGTTGTCCACTCTTGAAGGTGTTTTGTCTTCCTTCCGTATCTGGGCTGCCGTCGTCGCGTACATGAATAGTCTTTTAAAATTCATTGGTATCTCTGCTCCTACACAGCACCAGCATTGTCTCTCCTTGGCTGAAATGTGACTTCATTACTTGGCTTTGTGAACTTGAAGAGTTTGGATTTGGATTTGATATCCCGCCTTTCACTCCCCTTCAGGAGTCTCAAAGCGGTTAACAATCTCCTTTCCCTTCCTCCCCCACAACAATCACTCTGTGAGGTGAGTGGGGCTGAGAGACTTCAGAGAAGTGTGACTGGCCCAAGGTCACCCAGCAGCTGCATGTGGAGGAGTGGAGACCCGAACCCGGTTCCCCAGATTACGAGACTACCGCTCTTAACCACTACACCACACTGGCTCTCTTGTGACAATCCAAAATGCTGATACAATGGCTGCAGTTTTTCCTTTCTAATTCATTTATATCCCTTGTCGCCTCCCCCCCTTTTTTACTTTTTTAATGTAGTTCAGCTTGTAGTCTGGCTGCCTGAAACACAGAAGAGATGTTGCTAGGGGAAGTCTCCAAAGACCTTCTGACTCGGCCACTGACCCGGAATGAAGTGTTTGCTGTTCTCCTTCGCCTGACTGTCTTTGGGGCTGCCACCTACTTCAGCATCAAGTGGGTATCAGATGCCTTGGACCCAACCCGTAAGCAAAGGATACAGCTAAAGAAAAAGGTATATACATGGAACTTACCCACAAAGTCCACTGTGTGTGTGCACCAATTGGGCTATAATTTTGGAATCCTAAAGTGGTCACAGATCTTGATCACTGATATTCTGCTGTGGTGAATACCTCATATGTTCTCCCATAGCAGCACACCCACATGCCAATAATCGGGGGGGGGGGGTCAGGTCCTATGCATGGCTTTAGCACAATTTAGCACCACTGTAGCTTTCAATGACAGGCTGGTCTATCTTTCTCTTTTTTTCTTGATTCTTTGTCTCTGCTCATCTTTCAAGAACAAATGGACAGTAGCCTCCAGTCTTTTGGGGCCCAGGGTCACTTTTAGAATGTAAGGAACTGTTGCAGGCACCAAAAAAACACACATTTCACATTGATACCCACACCCACATGCAAAGCAAATGAAACACAAGCAAAAGAAGGCAAGGCCCCCAACCAACCTCCCTCCTGGTTTTATTTTTTGTTGTTTTGGCTTTAACTGAGATTTTGTACACAACGTAGATATATTTTTATATGAGTTTACAGTAGATAAATATAAAATGAACTAACTAAATACTAGGTAGCTAACATTTAAAAATATCTGTGTGAGAGGACAAAGGAGCTATCGCCTTATGGGATAGTTTCCAGGTGTATATTACTTTCGTAACTTAAGTCTCCCTTCTGGGATCCATTTGTGAACAGAATGTGTGAGTAAACTCTTTTTATACTTTTATAGAAGACTGTGTTGCATCTATCTTTTTATGACGGACTACTTTACCTAAAGGGGAAATTACCAAGGAAACTTCTTTTAGAGGCTTTAGCGAGCCTAAGCAAACACATCCTCTGCGAAAGTTTAAAAAGGGGGATGTTACTCTACTAAATTGTAGAACTTGTTAACACAAGATGGAAAGGATATAATCAAACAATATATCCTCTGCTGCATCCCTGAACGTTCCCACAATAGGCATGATGCTCTGAGAGAAAAATACCATCTACCAGAGGTGGCCCTATGGCAATACTTGCAGCTACATCTTTTAGTAACTTTGTTTGGTCTGGTGGCCTGCTCAGCATCTGAGACACCCAAAATTTGGAGCAATTGGATAATTCATTTGAAACAAAAAAGCCAGCAATTACTTTTTATAGGTATTTATTATCAACAAGTAAGTTTGATATACAGAGTTTAAGAAATGATTGGAATAAAGAGTTGGAATGTTCACGATTACCTAGACCAGGCATGTCCAACAGGTCGATTGCGATCTACTGGTTGATCGTCAGGAAGTTTCTGGTCAATCGCCAGTAGATTGTGTGTTCTTTAGTGATCGCCAGCCTCCCCGTAAAAAAAGATCAACAACTCTTCTCCCCCCCCAAAAAAAGCTCAATAAACATGGGCAATTGCACGGTGAGCTCCTTCCCTCTTGCTGACAGAGAGCTCACCAGTATGTGTGTGAGTGTGTTGTGCGGGGTGGCTGGATGGCTCCCCCTCCTTCATGCCGACAAAGAGCTGGCCAGTATGTGTGTGAGTTTGCATGTGTGCGTGAGATGGCTCCCCTTCCCTCGAGGATGTAACAGGGATGCTGCCCTGTGCCTATCAGAGACTGGATCCTAGCCTACACCCTGCTTGGTCAAAGGGGGATGCAGGCTGAGACTTGGGCAGTGCCAGGGGGCAAATCCAAGGGCTGACCATGGGCTTCCCTTGCCCATTTAAGCAGCCCACACCTGGGACACTCCCTCTTCCTTCCCTTCCCTTCCAGTGTGGATCTCTGTAGGTCTCCTGCATTGTGACTAGGAAAGTCTTAGATCTCGCCTGGGATCTCATCCTTCTTTGCCCGCCTGCTTTTTGTATCCACGCTGCATCATGCAGGCAAGAGAGGAACAGGCGTCTGTCCCGGTTTCTGCATTTGCCAGGATTCATCGTTGCAAGGGAGCTTGGGAAACTGAGTTCACTTGCATGGTGAGTAGTTCCTTTACGAGGGCTGAGGATCCTGGGAAACTGGGGGACTTCTGGTGGAGCGCGACTCTCCCGCAAGCGGGGATTTTACCGCAAGGTGAATCCCGTGCTATTTTGGATAAAAAGGGGTGCTACAGGGCGTGGTAGCCCCCGATTTAAACCCCTGGGAGGTTACCCAGAGGAGCAGGTGCCCAGCGAAGCCAGGAGCAACCCGCCCGGCTGTCAGGTAACCCTTAAAAAGGGCGAAGAGAACGGCGGAGCGGGGAGCGGGCTAAGGGCAGCCAATTTCTATATCCAAATAGCGAAGCCCTGAGCTTGCAAGAGGAGCGTTTCATTCTCAAAATAGAAGAAATTCGGACCAATTTGGATTATAATTTGGATGTTAATTAACTAAGGAAGGATCCGGAGCAGAAAGCAAAAGCGCGGAGTTCAGCTGTCATCTGCAATCAATACAGACACAGCGTAGTGTGCAGAGCAGCAAAAAGAAAGTGAGTTGCCACTGGCGGATACTGTTTCCTTCTCTCTCTGAACTCTTCTAAAAAGTAACATCCTTAGAAGTTACAAGCTTTAAGGTATATTTAAAGCTAAAAGGGAGAGCAGAAAGTAATGATTACAGTCATTTTGAGGTCTTCGTTGCAGCGGAGGGGAGAAATAATGGCGAACAGCTACTTTCACTTTTAAGAGAACAAAGAATAAAGAGCAGCGGAACGGAAAGGGAACTTCCGACTCCATTGTAAAGCTTCTGTTTGAACAGCAGCATAGCGGAAAAAAGAATTTAAAAGGTCTGTAACCCCTCATTTTTTCTTTTTGACTATTTGGTTTTTATGGTTGGTCCCTATTATAAGCCCACTATTATTGGAAACTGAGAAGATTTTCTTTTTAACCTCTCCTCTGTGTTTTTCTCTTAAATTTGGAACTTCGAAACTGGCAACCATTATACAACCCTAATGGAAGGAATGGAACATTACAATTTGTTTTTCAAGATTTTTGATTTGAAGCATAACAACTGAATGCGGCCTGTGTTCTTTTAAAATTATAAAGTGACCTGTACTTACTTTTAAAATTATAAAGTGACCTGTGCTTCCTTTTTTTTTCTCTTCTCATTGGAGTCTATTTTGTTTATGAGTCTTACCTCTGGACTTTGGGTATTTAGGTACATTATGGGAAAGAGTGGATAACTGGATAGAAATTTGGGGAAAAGATTTTCTCGCCTGCTTTTCTGCGGATCATTTTTGTCTATTTTTTGGTTTCTTTTTTTCCTCTTCTCTATCTTTTTTTGGAATTTGGACATACTTTTTTATATTGGTCTTTTCTGGATTATTTTGTATCTTTCATCCTCTTTCCTAATATAACAGTTGATTGGGTGGCGAAAGGAGGATTTAATTAATTTACAAGATACCTCTCCCTACAAGAATAATTTGGATTTACCGGTGGGAAGTCTACGTCCTTTAGTGGCCTAAATTAATTTACAGTTGAACATATATTTGGAATATTATTCCATTTGGAGATAGCCTAATTGGTGGCAAGAAGACACGTATTATATTTGTCGGGGTGGGCCCCCCAAGGCGAATATTCGATGGAATAGCCTAATTGGTGGCGAGAAGATTTAATTTGGAGCATTTGGAGCCTTTTTTATTTTCTTCTTTGTATATTCTGTATTAATTTGATAAATTATAAAAACTGAAAATGGCACATCAGGCAAAAAAAGGGGCAGATGGGGGAACACCAGCAGAAAGGAAAGGGTCTAAACAAGAGTCAGAATTCAGAACTTAAATTTTGAACATGTTTGCGGAAATTAAACAAAGTGAGAAGAACTTAGAATCCAAATTGGAATCAGTTGATAATAAGATAGGGAAAATGGATAAAAAAATTGATGAGACAGTCAATGAACTTAAAGGGCAAATAAAATAAGTATCAAAGAGGGCATTAGCTGCTGAGGAAGGTTTAAAGAGGACAAAATTAGAATTGAAAGAAGTAAAACGGGAAGGAGAAAAGCGTAAGGTGGAAATGATGGAATTAAACAAATCACAAGAAGAAATTAAAGATGCGATTGCGATGAATGAATTGAGACAGAGGGAGGTGAATCTGAGGCTGAGAGCCGTCCCGGAGATAACAGAATGAGAATATCAAGGAGAGGCTGATATCAGAATTGGCTAAATGGATGGAATTACCAATAGTGGAGGTAGCAAAGACAGTACAGAATGCATTTAGAATGAAAGTAAGAACAACTAAGGCAAGGAAATACACAGGAGACTGTTTAATCACCTTTAAAGATAGGGAGATGATAAATTTGATATTGCAGAAAAACAGAGAGAAAAGATTATACATAGAAGGAAATTACATAATCATATTCAAAGATATACCGATAAGATTGTTAAAACGAAGAGAGCCATATAAGCCATTGGTGCAGATTTTGAAGAAAAACAACATTGACTTCAAATGGGAATTTCCAGAGGGAATTTCTTTTTTTTTATAAAAACAAAAAGCACAGACTGTTGAATCCAGAGAAAACAGGAAAATTCCTGAGAAAGTACAAGAACCTAAAAGTAGGAGATGGAGAAGAAGGAGATGACAAAGGAGCTGGAGCTAAGGATGAATCAGAAACAGATGAAGAAGAGGAAGATCATGAGAAAAAGGCAGAAGAGGATGAAGAGGAAAAAGGAGAAGAAACAATCAGATCATAAAAAATAAAATAAAATAAAATTATTTAATTGGAAATCATGTCTTTAAAATTTTGGAATTGGAATATTAATGGGATGAATGAGGGAAAAAACGGAATAAAATTGAACAATTTTTAAAGAAGAAAAATTTGGACATCATATGTTTACAAGAAACACACGTCGCAAGAAAACACAGAAAAATTTAATTAATAAAAGATTGGGAAATGAATTCATATCTTCAGATAAAGAGAAAAAAAGAGGGGTGGTTTTATATATAAACAGTAAAATTGAATCAGAACAAATTTTTAAAGATGAAGAAGAAAGAATTATAGCAGTCCGGATCAGATGGCAAGGCGAAAGTTTGATAATTGTTGGGATCTATGCACCTAATGGAAATAAGACAAAT